TCAAAGGGCTAAGGCTAAGCCTTAGGGAAGTCGAAGATCAGGATATATGCTGCAACACCAAGTAAGTTTAATCCTTTATACGTGCATGCAGGCAATTTTCATGCACAACATCAATCATTTTGGTGAAAATCTGTCTATAAGCCACTTGTGAGGCTGAGGTAACCCACCTCAGAGTCTCGGTGTCAACAGAGTTTCGCCAGGGTAGGGCGACTCACTTTGGAGGCAGTCCACACAAATTTTCACAAAAGTGCTCCTTCAAAAACCGTGAGGTGGAATAGCAAGGTTAAGCTATCATAGCTAGGCCACAGTTAGAACCAGTTTAACAGAGTTAGTTTGTTAGCACACCTAGGCCCAAAGTTACACAGAGCTAGGCCAAGCTGACTATACACAGAGGAAGTTATTATTTTGCAGTAATTTACAGGCAGCCAGGTAGGCTATAGAGCTTTGTGGAATTTAATTATTTACAGTGTTACAATAAACCAAGTAGAGACTGTGTGTTGATTACTTTCAGTGGATTTCCAAGGGTAGCCACAGTTAGGCTAGGCTTGTGCAATATTACAGCAGTGTTATAGTAGCTAGGACAGATTTAACCTAGTTATTAGTTTACAAGGGAGTTCTAAAAGCAGGTTAAGCTATAGCATACTAGCAAGGATGGATTTACCTTATCCAACCACCACGCCTAGACGAGTAAGCCAGGAAAGTTTTACAACACGCATTATTATTACTGTTTCACAAGTTGATTTGTTGAATTTATTGTGTTTAACCAAGTGATTTTAATTTGTATACTGCTCTTTTTATTGTGTGATATCATTGTCTTTGATTCATGTTTAATGTGGGATTTGTGAATGTACCTGAGACTAGGTTAAGTCCCGTATTATTCTGCTGACATTGTACAGGAAATTGCTAGGGTTAAGATTTCACATCGATACACCATTTTGATGGATTTGGAGAGCTAACAGTGTAACATTTTTTATTCAGGTAGAGTCAATATAATAAAGGAAATTTTCAGCTATTGAGAAGCCTTTTGAGACTCGTTCATTCTCACCAAATACCCGTTCGTGCTGTGGGGTGGGCTAATTGAAGTACAAATTAGTAACCGTGATCTTAACTAAACCGCAACTATGGTAGTGAAAGATGTAGTACCAGCTGTCCCACTCTAAGTTCAATTAAAGCGGTCTAATGTGGAACCTATCAGGGGCGCCTGAGCAAAGCATGTGAGGAGTTGTCGTATGGTCAGGCTAGATCAGGAAGAAACTGGGAGGAACTAAGAGTTGACCTGAAATCTTTGGAGGCAAAGACCTGGAGGCCTTTGAGAGATCATTTATCCTTTATGAGACAAGGCTATACACAGTAGTCTCTGACTATACATCGAAGTAGCACAGACGGACTATGACAACGAGGGCAGAGTGGTAAAGAGAGATGAGACTCTGCAGCAGTTAATAAAGACTTTGAAGGCCGTACAGCAGGGAGCAAATGTTTCAAGAACACACGAACAACAAAGCACGTACGCCTTTGAATGTGTTGCCCAGATTGCCCCAGTTGAATTTTTAACCAACGTTCGACGGAACCTTAACAAGTACATTGCTTTCTGGATCAGTTTTTAAAGCCCAGATAGATGACATGAACGATTTGCCAGATGGCCGGGTCAAATTGCAGTATTTGCGGTCGCAGCTCAAGGTTTAAGCCTTAGACCTGGTCCGGCACTTACCAGATTAGGGTGGCTGACACTGATTACCAACATGCCAAAGACCAATTAGAAACATGTTTGGCAACACTGAAGAAGATAAAAGGCCATAACTTTATCGGTTTGTTGGATCTAGAGGATTGCCGCCATGACCGTCAGAGCCAAGAGAAGTTTCCGTAAAATCGAAGTTATAGTTTGACAAATAGTCTTAAAGATTACAATGATTGGGTAAGTCGGAAAGGTCATCAAGTCAGGTGATTCAGAGGAAACTGGCTGGCACTACAGTGCATGAGTTGCACTTAAATATCGGACGAATAGTTCACGATAAACAAATTGTTGAGGGGTGTTGGAGATCTCGTTTCTCCATTTTGAGTACAGTGTGAGAGAAGAGTCACCACCATCGCCCACAAAAAAACCCCCCCCAGAAAGTCCACTCAAAGATTCTCGAGAGATCAGTCCTAAAAGCTCGTACGACTAACGTTGGAGTGTACCTATGTAAAGAAGTGTCTAAGGTAAGAACCTCTAACTGAACCTTACAGGCACTCATGCCAGAATATGTGTTCTGCAAGGCGAACACGTCTAGCACGAGTGATGCCCAGAGTAATACGAACACTGAGCAGTATGCAACATAGACTAAGGAGTTGAGACTCTGCTTCAAGTTTGTGGGAACACTTTGCGAGAGAACTGTGGCACCCAGCACAGTGAATGATGGGTCTGTTGCAAAGGTAGCACCTTAAACTGCACTATGTCCCAAAATATAAGGAACCCCAGCTAGTAGGGATATCTCTCAGGTAGAGATAGAAAGTGAGTCCGAGCCTGAAATGGTAGCCAGCGTGATTATTGGGAGTGAATGTCCTCTAATCTGGAGTGAGAATCACGGAGGTGCTGCCCTACCTACAGTCAATGGCAAAGGTTTGTGAATGGGCACAGGTCCAAAAAAAACAAAACCCGATTATTCTTTGACCCAGGAGCACAGTATCCCTTGATAACAAAGAGTTGGTGGCTAAATTAAAGTTGAAGGCCACAAGAAATTAGTATGATGTTGGGAGGGGCTATAAGGTCAGGTCCCACCCAAATCTTATGAGTGGTGGATGTCACAGTAAATTAAGGTGGAAATCGCAGAGACATTACAGCCTTGTGGTGGTAGAGACATACCCATGGCCAATTACAGCGAGAGGATTGCTGCAAGCAGCTAAGTGATTGAAAAGACCTTGACTGAAGCGGGCAGACCAGTTAATTACCACTAACACAGTCAGAAAATTAGGTATCCTGGTGGGAGCCAATCCATATAATGACTTCCTGTCTACTCGACGGACGTTTAAGAAGGAATTGGTTATACAGATCCCCCAGTAGGAATACATCAATAGGCGGCCAGGATTCCACCTGAATTCCCGCCACGCCAGATAGAGGAGAAGCTGGTTCCCCTGATAGCTGGGGGAGTAAGTGATAATGCACACCATATACACTATGAACTGCCCAGGGAAGCTGAACCAGGTAGGTAGGTGACGAACACTCGGCCACCTTGGGAAAACACTTGTACAGGTAACGTAAAAGGGAGATAGATTGCCAATACATCTAGGGAACCTCGTAACAGGGGAGGAAAGGCTACCAGGGCATGGGCCACTGGGTGGGAAAGTACGAGCCACTCATCAAGCTAGACATACTAAAGACGTTAAAGTTAAAGGAAAAGGGTGCTAAACCACCGGAACCCAACAAGTTTACACTCCCAGAGGTCCAACGCAGGGAAACTTGGACGGTTGAAGATAGACCGAGTCTGCTCGACAGATGGCCCGAGTGCCGGGACGGCACTCGTGTCCAGGGTCCGCCATGGGGGCTCGCGGAAAGTGAACTTGATTTTCGACTTAAGGCGCCTACATAGAGCTTCGGCTGGTGGGAGGATGTGGAAATTTATTTGGTCCCTAAAGTTCCACAGGACAGATCCCGGTCAAGGCTGTAATGGAACGGCTAGCTGGTTCTGGCCCTTAAACCCACCCAAACAAAAAGCGTTCTCCCAAAACATAGACACATTTCTCTCCCCGGTTGGCGTGGTTGGTAAGCTTATTTAATTTAAGATTTACCCTTCATGAAGGAGTAGGTAGTTTACTGTTAGTAATATTAATATTAGGTTTACCTAAGGCAACGTAGATTAATAATAAGTAGACCTAAGACCTTAACATAGTAGTAATAGGCCGATAATGTAGGCAAACACTAGGATAAGTTTAGCTAGGAGACTGGCAGCCCTAGTTTGAATGAAGAATAGGGTCTGGAAGAAGACCAGCTCGATCTTCTTAGACAGACACCAACTGGACAGGATGTGCCATGATCAGCAGATGACGCCCCCCACGTGTCTTCACATTTGAGACCTAGGGAAATCTGGTAGAGGCACCTCAATGTACCGTAGATGACCTCCGTCAGGCCATACGTAAGACAAGACCTCCACTTTAATCTCGTAGATTTCTGGCGCAGTGCCTGGGGAGAATTGTGAGTTGAGTTTTGAATCTGTGGACCTGGTGTGCAGTAGGCAGTGCATGCCCAGTAAGTACCAGTGTCTCTTGGCAGTCTGGAAGCTAGTGTCCGTGTCTGCATAGTTATACTAGGGGATACATACCCTCTTGGATATAGGAATTTCTGAGGTGCAGGCAGGTCACTAATAACGATTGAATATTGCAGGAATTAAGGCTCCTGGTTGCACGTGGTTTCTGAGGGGAAGTCCAAAGGGGCTAAGGCTAAGCTTAGGGAAGTTGAAGAACAGGATATATGCTGCAACACCAAGTAAGTTAGTCCTTTATACGTGCATGCAGGCAAGTTTCTTGCAACATCAATCATTTGTGAAAATCTGTCCTATAAGCCACTTGTGAGGCTGAAGTACCCACCTCAGAACTCGGTGTCAACAGAGTTTGCCAGGGTAGGCGACTCACTTGGAGGCAGTCCACACAAATTTTCACACCAATATTCAATTTCATTTATGTCACATTTACTTAAGGTGAAAACTGGTTCGTCCTGTGCTCTTCCTTTTGTAGATTCCTTGACGACTTTGTTCAGGAAATTTTTCATTCCTACCTCCATCAGTTATGCTCTCCATAATGCTTTTGGTCCTCCGTGTGCGTCCCAGTGTATGTATGTGTATGTGTATATGTGTGTATACATGTATTTATGCATACAGTATACAGTGCATACAAGAAAAAGAAATAAGTGGATAATGAATTAATTTTCATACAGTAGGTAAGTAATGAGATAATACTTATAATGTTGTTAAGAAAGGCTAATAATAAGTAAGGTGGACGTACAGAGTAACACTGGTGATGTCACTACACAGGATCCAGTAGCAGCAGCATCATGGGAGGGTGTGTTGGACGTCACCACTATGCCAGAGCCATGCCTGCAGATACCAGCTGCTATGGCCCTCGTGGGCGTCAAGGCACAAACAATCAGCGTGCAGGGGAGTGAGGACTGCCTCTATCTCAATGTCTTCACGCCTAAGGTAACACGGGACTACATGTTGGTTCTCCTTGAGGGTGACTAGAAAGCAGGAGTAATCAGGTTTGATCAGAGGAAGGAGAGGACAATTCTGTTATTTTTAATCAGGAGACCTTTACCAGAATTATGACTCCTGGCATCCTCCTTTATCTCCCCTCCCTTCTTAGTGTTCCCAAATAGTGTACAAACAAGCAACAGGTCCTTATGGAAAATCTTTCTGCACGACCAAGGTAATTCAAAACTAGTGAATGAGTAAGACTCCTCTGGGCTGTGGAAGATCAATGTAACTCAAATCAACTTCCTACCCACTTCCACTACCACTTGGGACCTATAGGTTTGTCTGCTCTATCCTTATCACTCTGGTCTAGGACTCAGAAATGCTCGTTGATATTCCAAAGTACTTGCAAATTTTCCACTATTCGTGATTTTTCTTGGATTCGAATTCGTTCATGTAAATTGCTACACCAACCAGAAAGAATTTATGCATTTTTTTCCTTAATTCAGCCGTGTAAAAATAAATATTTAATTATTAAAAATAAGTGTATGGAAGAATGTTGTGTGCGCACCTAGTGAGAGTGCTGACTGCTGTAGCCTGGTGACGGTGGGAACCTACCAGTGATGGTGTGGATACACGGAGGTGGCTTCTACTTCGGCAGCGCTCGGGAGTACCTTCCCCACGTCCTCCTCAACCAGCAGATTGTGCTAGTGGTCATCCAGTACCGACTCAGCGTAATGGGTCAGTTGATCAATCACGCACTTCATGTCCAGCTCATCCTCGATCTTTATATAGCATACTCCTGGCACTCTGGCCTTCTTCTTTAACAGGAAGCTATACGTATATACGTATATGTATACACATGTTCACATACGTGTGCACACAATTGTTTTAGGCAGTACACCAAACAAATGAAGATAAAAAGACGTAGCTGGAAGACAACCCTCACAAAAAAACAGAGGTGAATGCTGACATATACACACAAAACACCCCAAATATACTCTTTTACTTATTGTTTTCATATTAGTCACTGTGTAAGCGTTGTAATATTATTTTAAATTCACTTGCTCTTAACTATAAATGCAACTCCAGGAAAATTGAAGCTTTTAAATAAACTTAAATTTCATTAATATATTGTATCTTTAAAAGGTATGTAAAATATATAATATTAGTTGCACGAAAGATTGTGTCTTCTGCATTACAACTAGCAGTTTTGACCCTAAGTAATAATACACATAATTTTCTAGCTTTGGTTTCTACATGTCCCAGATGAAGACAAATTTGTGTATTCCAATTCAGGTTTCCTGTCGACTGACGACTCTGTGTTTTCCCCGGGTTTAATTTCGGGCTTAAGGATCAAACACTGGCGCTGCCAGTGGGTGCAACGGAATATTCACAACTTCGGAGGAGACAAGAATAGGGTCACAATCTTTGGCGAGAGCGCCGGTGGTGCCTCTGTTCATTTTCAGATGCTCACGCCTAAGGCCAAGGGTGAGTAAGGGAGGAAAGAGGAGAGGTGTTGTTCCTCTTCTCAGAGGCCTAAACTCATTGAAAGAGATCACTAAGACGAAAGTTTGACAATTGACAAAGGTTTTGGACTACTACCTAACCACAAATGTTATCTCAATAGGTCTCTTCTCTCGAGCAATCATGCAATCGGGAACAGCGGTGTGTCCGTGGGCATTGAGTAGATCCCACGCTGACACGGCACAGAGGATCGCCCGGGCTGCTGGCTGCGACTCAGTCCACGACAGCAACAAACTCCTGAAATGTTTAAAAGATGCTGATGCCGACAAGTTGACTTCCATCGCTCAGGAAATAATGGTATTTTTTTTTTTTTACAATTTTTTTACAAATAATTGTTAAGATGAAAAGTTATTTGTTTCAGAGTAGGTACAATTATATTGAGTATAAACTGTTGCTCATATGCCGAAGATGACCAGAAATGAATCCTTTGTGTAATTAATTATGGGGAAGAACTAAAATTAATTTTAAAGATTGTGTAGGTAAAAATTTCACCTCGCTTAATTAAATTTTTACTTCAAATTATTTTAAATGATATATATCATATACGAATTTTACAAATTATTACTTTTCCTTGGCAAAAAATTGGGAAGGGGACATGCCCCCATGAGTGAGGGTTAGAACTGAAAGTAGGCACTGGCACGAATCATCTGGCAGTCCATTAGAGGGCACGGTGTCGTCGCTTGTGTTTCATAAGCGTAACACCCAGAACCCCCATTTTTTTTTCCCCCTGTAGCTTTTCGATTTTTTTTTCCCTTTATAAATCGAGAACCCTCGCCCAATCTGTCTCAAATTTCTCAAATCTTCAAAAACTTGTGTATGGTAACGAGGGCCCCAAATTTTAAAACAATTGAAATGTTCCAGTGCCTTGCCCCAAAAATGTTGAACACTTTTTCAAAAGTAACTCGTGGGAATCTTTAAACCTTCTAAAAAGTGCCTGAAAATTCGACGTAGCGGAGAGTAAAAAAATTTAAAAGTTCAGGTGCAGATTTTACAATTTTTTAATCTGTAAAAAATATGAAATTCCTTATTCCTTTAAAATAAAACGTTAAAAAAAATTCGTATATCCCTTCTGAATGGTTTGTATTTAATGGCTGATGCATCTTTGTACTCGTTAGGGTTTCGTTTGTGGGGCAAGCAATTTGTTTTTACCTAATAAAAAGTAGAAAAAAAAATGAAAACAAGGAATCCGATGCCATAAATAGATTAGCTTCAAAATATCATTGACGATGCATTTTGTAAAACAAATGATACCCCCAAAAATTTTGTTGGTGAATCAAATCTGAAATTTTTCTAAATATTTAGAAAGCTTTTTCGATCGGCCTCAAACTTTTTTTCCCTTGAGGGGTTTAATGAACACAGCTTGACTCCCCGTAAAAATAAAATGCCCTTTTGTCAGCTTTAAACTTTTGGTTAGGTAAGGGGGTGTCAGGAAAAAAGGACAAGTGTTTCTTGAGTGGTCTTGGTCATTATAAAACCCCGCTGGAGCTTTTGGGCACTGACCAAGGCCTTTTGTTACAAAGTCAAACTCTAAATCCTGGGTACCTTAAAACGAAAAAGCTTTTTTTTTTATTAATTATTGGGGTTTAGGATGCGATTTGCCTTTTTTTGCAATTTTTTCAACTGGCTTTTCAAAAAAAAAAATTTTTTTTTTTATAGAATTGAGAGATTTTTAAAATGACCTGCAAATAAAAAAGAAAAAAAGGAAAATAATAAAATCCGGGTTTTTTTAAAATTTTTTTAAGTTTAAATAGAGGGGAAAATGTCTTGTTTT